TTTACAATATTTTTCTTTCTTTTTTCAAAAAAATGTAATAAAAAATCATAATAGTTCATAATTGTAAAAAAAAAAAAGACTGTTTTTTTTCTTCATGTGTCGTAGTAAATGTTTGTGTTTCAGGCGTCCTGCAGCTCTGTGCGTATCAGAGGAGCGGCTCTGAAGCAGCACCTGCCAGCGGCTCAAACATCTCAACATGAAAGAAATGGCTTTCGGACTCTTTCTTTGGCAGATGATTTATTTCTCACACAGGATTATTGGTGCAGCATGATTTAATACTGGCATTACTGGTTAGGAGTTATGATTCTGTCTGTCCAATAGATGGCGTTCAGATGCAAAACACCCTCAGATGAGGAATGATATATTCAGCACACAGACACTGATCAGAGTTCATTTCTCTGCATCGCCAACTCAACATGAAATACATACAGAAACACAGACAGCAGTAAAGCTTTTAAAATATTAATGTACACAAAAGACCCTGAATTACAGTTTGCCTTTTTCAAGCAGTTTCTGTAAACATGCAATGATTAAAATCTTGGAATAATACAACACTAAAACTTTTGGCAGTAATTTTTAGCAATCAATTTGTCTAGATTTACATAAAACAATTATTGGTTTTCATTTGTTACGTATGTTTGTCATACACATTTAAAATGTAAACAGCATATGTATTTGAAATTACACAATTATGGGGTTAATAATTTGTTCATAAAAATATCCATATATATATATATATTGAATACAAGTGTCAAATGTTACACTAATGCTTAACACAATATATGTTGACATTTTATATCTATATTATTATTTTATATTTAATGTATATAAACAACTGAAACAATTAGTTAATGTTTTTTTTATTTTATAAAACTTGTTAACATTTTTTAAATTAACAAACACACACACACATATATATATGTGTGATAATTATATATATATATATACATAATGTTTGCAGAAACCAATGTTTGATTATTATAAAGCTGACTGACAATAAAATATAGGCATATGTAGTGCAAATTTCACAATTATTGGTTATATAAAATATATATATATATATATATATATATATACATTAGTGCTGTCAAACGATTAATCACGATTAATCGCATCCAAAATACATAATGTATGTGTGTGTACTGTGTATATTTATGTATATATAAATACACACACATACAGTATATATTTTGAAAATATTTACATGTATATATTTATATTAATATATTATATATAAATATATTTAATATGTAAACAACATATTTTTCTCAAATATATACAGGTGTTCGTATTTATATATACATAATAAATATACACAGTACACACACATATATTATGTAAACAAAAACTTTTATTTTGTATGCGAGTAATCGTTTGACAGCACTAATATATGCACTGAAGCATTGTTAAAAAATACAAAAATATGTATAGAAATAAAACATTAATATTTTTTTTTACCAAAAACTAATTTGTTCCATAAACCACTTATAAAGTTGAAAAAAAAATGTATACTACGAAGTTTATTACAAAATTTGAACAGGTTTTAACATCGCACAAGTTTCCCAGAAGTCATGGTGTGACCCTGTTGTAATCACACTCGTATTCTTCATTTGTACTTTGTTTCGAGCTGCGCCGTTTCCACGATGTTCTGGTGGCAAAATAATAACTGAAGCAGTCGAGCGCGCAGTTCATGCTGGACACGCACATCGCACCGTGAACGAAATTATGTGCGAAAAACTGCGCGCTGCACGAGTGCTTGTACGCCTGCGTGACGTACTTGAAGAAAAAGCCGAAGTGGATGGGAAAGAAACATATGACGAAAACAATCAGATTAGCCGCGATGATAAACATACACTGAATCTTCTCAGAACGAGATCCGATTTCCAACCGTTTCCTTAATTTGAAAATGACTGTAATGGAGCAGAAGAGCATGATGAGGAACGGCACGAGGAACCCAATGATGTTAAGAACCAAAATGAAGGCCAACGGTAATTCCTCGCCTTTGTTTTTCTGAAAGCACTTAATCGTAGTATTTTTTCCCGGTTCGTCCACGCGATGGAACGCGGCACTGAATGAGCACGTGACCAGCCAAATGAGCGCGCAAACCGCCAGCGCGTTTCTGCGACACAAAATTTCCCGGGCTTTTAACGGATACTTGATGGCCACGTAGCGCACGACGCTTATCGCGGTGACCGTGAAGATGCTCACGTACATGTTGACATAATAAACCGACACGAGGATGTAACACAGCTCTTTGTTGGTTTGGTCCCAGAGTCGCGAACTTTCCCAGATGTAGGACGCGAAGCGGACGGGCAGAAGCACGAGCACAATGCAGTCGGCGATCGCCATGTTGGCGATGTAGATGTTCATGTAGGTCCAGTCGGTTATGGGACGGCGGCAGAACATCACTAAGACGTAAATGTTTCCCAGGACACCGAGGATGAAGCTGGGAATCAGTGCAGCGAGCTGGAAGTTCTGGACTCCCGCGGTGATGTTCAACGTGCAGTTAGACATCTTCAACCTGATAGAAAAAAAATAAATAAAAATGGATGGAATAATGTAGCGTTCAAAACTAGATGGTTTAATAGCATTTAATTTTTAATATATAGTGCAAGTTTTGGAACGTTCGTAGACGACGTGCGTCTTTGAAATGTGTTACACAAATTCTAGACAATAAATAAGTTTTGTTTTTTTTTGTTTTTTTTCAAAGATGGCATACATGAATGTATTTTCAAATGTATGGTTATTTTTAAATGCGTTCAAGAATGTACAAGAAAAAAAAATAGGTAGAAAATATATTTACATAGGCTGTCATTTAGTGTTCATGTTGCTATAGCCGATTGTTTTTTGGTCTACTAAACCATTAATATCATGAGACTGATGCAGCGGTAAAAATGAGTCAAATCTACTCAAAATAAGTAAATAAAAACAACTAAATAATAATATCAATTATGAACAAAAAAAAATCTAATTCAACGTTAAAGTTTTGCTTTCTCTTGGGAGTGTTACAAGCTGATTGTGCATAGATAAGATCCCTGAAGTTGCAAAGACTAAAGTCTCAAAACCAAAGAGATATTCTTTATCAAAGTTAAGACTCTGCCACGCCCCCCTAAAACGGCTCGTTCTAACACGCCCCCACATATCTACCTCACTATGTGGAAATATTAGCATAATGCCGCTCAAATGTTCATCAAAGAAAGAAGGCGTGGTTTCAGTAACCGCAGTTAGTGTTGAAGCAGCATGTCAGGGAGACGCTGTGTGGCCACAACAGAACCTGATTAATCAAATTTGGTGTAAAAGTCTTCAACTTTTTTTATTTTTATTTTGTCTAGTTGAATCTCATGTAACTTAAAGAAAAAAGAAACAGGATTGATGGGAATTGAAAATAAACAGCCTATTTACTGCATTCCAATAATTGTCTATGTTCAATGTTAACATAATGTAAAATTGTTAAAAGTTTCCACAGTTCTAGGCTTAGACCTTTGAAAAGTCATTGTTTACAGTGCACAATAAAAAATGAATGAATGAATTAAAAATAAATGAGGCACTGGCGAAAAACATACTACTATAATCATGAAACTATACTTACAAAAACATGATATTTAAAAAATATATATTAGCAATAAAAAATACATCATTTTTGCATTATGTTGACTCAATGCAGTTCTTATAAACTTCACTGTTTGATTTTAAGGACATTTTTGTTTAATAAATATATATCATTTATATAATAAACAAATAGCGACTGAGTTCAAATAAAACTCTTGCAAAGCATTATGGGAAATAAAGTTTTGATACGAATGCGTTAGCGATTTGTAAGATATATCTAAATATATATTATACATTGATATCAGTGCATAGGCTATCAAACAAGCAATCTGCATTTTTTCTTCTTTGCGCCTGTATTTTTTTCTCTAAAGAGATCCAAACTGATGCTCAGTTTCAAATTGCATCAACTGGTTTTACAACTTGGCCGGAAAACATGTTTTATTTTATTTGATCATAGATCTCTTTGTAATCTGTATTCTATATTATAGTCTGCTTTATAAATACATTTCGTGAAATGATTCATATGACAGATGCACGTGCTAAAATTCACGAAATATTACATTGCCATCCAATACGAAGATAAATGACTGAACTTTTTATTACAATGGAAAGCTGTAGTAGCTATATAAAACATGGACATTGTGAAGTGAAGGAAAGTCAAACCAACACACAAAGACACACGCACAATCAGCATTAGAATAAAAACATATGAGAGTGAAACCAACATTAAGAAACTCGAGAGACTTGAAAAACTCTTACCTTTTCACATGCCCACCTAGAGAAAAGAGCTGAGATCTGTGGAATAAGTCTTCAAAAGTGGAAACAGATACACTTCAGCAACAAAAGCGCATGACAGAAGTTCTTACTTTATACATAAATGCAATGCATTAAACACAAATATATATTAATGCATCGAGAGCTAGGTCACATGCTGTCTTTGGTGCATCGATAGAGCAGATAAACTCTGTGTGTTATTTCCGTCTTTGTTATCATCATCTAACAAACTTGTTCGAACAGTTCGTTCAAATGAACCGATTCGTTTGAGCGCATAATAGGCGCTTTCGGAATATACTTCAAGAGCATTACAAAGATCCAGTTGTGACAATTAAACTTAATAAGCATTATGATGTTCATTTCAACGAGTCAGACGGTAGTGTTGTAAATGAAGCATTTCCATTGTACGGAAGTTCTAAGCGGCCATGCATTCTTTTTTTTTCCTTCTTGTTTTCTCGTTATAACGACTTAATTTCTCGTGATCTCGACATAAAAAAAAGTTGTTCTCTAAGTTACAAAACTGCGGCAACAGGTGGCATATTGACCTGAATATAACTGATGGGGTGTTGTAGGCTAAGCTTTACTGTACGCGTTAGGGATAGAATATGAACGACCTCGTGATCGCTATAATTTGTACAGTATTGTTCATTAGGCTACTGACATTTAATTCATTCATAAATGTTAAATGCTTGAATCAATTAACGAGAAAATAAGTTGTTATAACGAGAAAACAAGAAGGAAAAAAAAAAGAATGCATGGCCGCTTAGAACTTCCGTACCATTGAATGTTTATTGGATATTTTTCTGTATCAATTTGATGCTGATTTTTTTTTTGTCAGATAAACCTTCTGATTCCATGCCAAACAGGTGCTTATCTTTTCCACCAAATCAACAAGCAATGGTTCGCGAATCAAATTAGCGTTCAAAATCTGTTTAAACGATTCATTTGATTGGAACCACCCCTCCAAATGTTCCACAAAGTGCCTGATGCATAGTTAAACAATGTTAGTAAAATATGACTCATCAATATGGTTTCAATGTTTTTGAGTTATAGGTTTTTGTTGTGTATTGCGGCTCAAGCGATGTGCTCCAGTTAAATTCAAGGTTCACTTCAATGCCAGTTGGAAAACATAGCTTTGTTTTGGAAAAGGGTAGTTAGTCGTCATTAGCAGGACCAGCCACCAGGTTTAAAAACAAGTCCTACAAGGAGATCACAAGAGGGCCATTGTAAATGTAAACATTTATTACTAGCCCATTGTACAGATTAAGCTATTCATAGTACATTCATAGTGTTTTTTTAATCATGCAAAAGCCTTGTTTAATACTGCAACTAGTGCTGGGAGGTATGACCAAAAATTTATATCACGGTATTTTTCACAATTATACCGGTTTCACGGTACATGACGGTATTTTTTTTTCCATGCATGACCGGGTGTTTACCATATTTTGTACTGATTGAGAGGAAATACTGCAGTATATTGACTTAGAATGCCCTATTTTACTGTCATGAGGGCATATTGTCAAAAAATACCACACTAAATAGTGACTAAACACGACCCCTTTTAATACATGTTAACCAGGAGTCGCTCTCATTTATAATCGCAGCATCGTCTGATAAAATCAACATGCATCTACACTAAAGAGCGGCTATGCGGTTGTTTTGGCTAGATTACTCTTTTGTCTCAAGCAAAGAATGTGAATCTCCAACAGTAGACAAAACTCTCTTACCTTTTCACAAGCACTAAAACAGTTTGTACCGGATTCAATCTGGAGAAAACTGACGGACTCGAGCACAATACCGTTAACGTTAAAGCTTTATTTGGTCCTAAATAACGGGTCATGCATCAACTTGCATAAGCTTTTCCAGACACACTGAAGAGAGAAATATGACACGTTTTCCAAATATCCCTAAATATGGCGACTAGATCACACAAACACCCTTTTCTGTCTCGCTGTGCTGTCTGCGTGAAGGCGCCTACAACACCAAAAATGCAGTGTTCAGTGGTCTCTTCCATTAATGTGCATCTCAATGCCTAAAAACTTACTCATAAAAAGATAAGTTTTGGCAGAGGTACTGACTGATTTGAATAATGAACATTGGCAAGACACAAAATACATTTACATGCAGTTGCACGTTACTGTGCAATACTACAGAATCAACAGCTCGACCAGTCAAGGTTGAGTCCTGACCTAATGACTCTTATGAACCGGCTCTTTTTAGTGATTCCAAACACAGCGACCAGTATAACATTGAAGCGGATTCATAATTAAATGTTACCCTACTAAAGCTTTTCTTAGAAAATATGAGTCAGACATTGAAGTGAATTGCAGTTTTTGTGATTCTTCTGAAGAAAACTTAATTTGTTTGGGCAATGTTCCCACATTTTTGAATGCTTATCCAATCTTATGTGACTTTTTGTTTGTTTTAAAGCTGCTTTCTTTGGATTGCTTGACTACTCAAAAGAGATTACAGGGAAATTGACAATAAATTGCTCAATTTCACATTCATAAGCAAATGTTTACTGGTTCTTAACCTCTCTTTTCAGTGTTCAAAGTTGATTTAGACAAGTATATGGCAACTATACAAAGTTCTGTCAATCTTAAAGCTATGAAAACTGTATTTCTGTATTCTTCTTTTGTGTAAGGTGTTCATTTATTTATTTATTTTCCGTTTGGTTGGTTTGTATTTGTTGTGAATGTGTCTATAATTGTAATAAATAAATAAAAAAGAGAAACCAGTGAAAATTGATTCCTGAACTAATGACTCTTTTGAACCGGTTCTTTTTAAGTGAATCCGAACATACAGCGCGACCAATGAAGATCAGTTTAAAGGGGTCAAATATATGCGATTTCAATTTTTCCTTTCTCTTAGGAGTGTTACAAGCTCTTGGTGCAGAGAGCAACTTAGATAACAAGATAAAGAAGATCTGTAAAGTTGCAAAGACTAAAGTCTAAAATCCAAAGAGATATTCTTTATAAAAGTTAAGAGTCAGCCACGCCTAACTAAAACGCCTCGTTCTAACACGCCCCCACATGTCTATGTCACGATGTGGGAAGATTTGCATAACGCCGACCAAATGTTCACGCAAAGAAAGAAGGCGTAATTTTTATTCTCGCTATAGTATTGTTGTTGCCGCCGCCACCATGTCGTGAAGACGCTGTGTGCTTCGTTGTGAAAGCGAAACTACTTTGTTTGGTCTTCCAAAAGAGGATGATATCCGCTTCCTCATGCCTGGAGCTGATCCGTGCTGGTCGCTGAGGAAATACTACAACTTTGCGCTGTGGATCGCCGGATCAGCTTTCACCGTGGACGAAGCGGAGTCCAGCCAGGAGTCGTCACATGTGGTTGCCGCAGGCATCACAGTATGTGAGGGACGTAACATATCCATCACACGCTTGAGGAATTCGGCCAATCACAACGCACTGGATAGCTGGCGATTGGCACACCTCACTTTTTCAGACCGATGAGCTTTGTAAAAATCGACGCGTTTCAGAAAGGCGGGGCATAGAGGAGAAACACTAATGTACAGTATGTGGAAAATAATGTGTTTTTTTAACCTTAAACAGCATAAACATTTCATTACACCAAATACACAAAATAATTTTCTTTTTAGCAGCATCATATGATCCCTTAAAAAAAAAAAAAAAGCTTAAAAAAAAAAAGAGAAACCAGTGAAAATTGATTCCTGAACTAATGACTCTTTTGAACCGGCACTTTTAATGGATCCAAAACATACAAGCAATGAACAATAGTCAATGTGAAGAGAGGTAAAATAAACATCAAAATGTTCATATATTTTTTAATGTAGCATTAATATGTGCTGTAAAAGATGCTGCCATTACACCCAATGCACTTTCACACATTTTCACTCTTTCATTTCTAACTTTCACTGACTTAACTTTCCATATTTTAGAGTCAGAAAAAAGTGGCTGTTTAATGCATAAATCTGATTATCTCTGCCTGCAACAAAAGTTGGACATCCTGAAAGTCACAAACAAATTCCAGTAGCGATAAATATAGATCAGACTTCGAGGGAACTAAAACATTGGAGACACTGCATTTCCTTAGCACTTGATTTATTCAAACAATGCCAAAGCCAGTCTCACGGAGACTACTTTGAATTACACATTAGGCAATAAATAGACCTTATTGATACAAAAACAATAACACTTTAATAGTGCAATATAAACCAATTATTAAAGTTGGGATTCTTGCATTGTGGTTATTAGACAGTCGTTCAGGGGACTTTGAGGCTGCGACGTCCCGGCGACAGGATGAAATGTTGTGTAAATCCATTTACACAGATCAGTCCAACAAGTAATCTCCATTTTAGGAAAAAAAGCATGCATTCATTCGCACAAGAAATTCCCAGGAAATTTGCAGTCCAACTGTGTTTATTCCAACAGCATCTGCGGACTCAAAACCAGCAGAGCGAGTCCGCCAGCAGATGACCAAGATACCAAATATGAGGTGCAGCAATCCCATGATGCATTACAAATCAGTCCCAGCCCTGAGCGAGAGGTTCTTAGCACCATCCAATGCCCCAGACCCTCAATATAGCGCCCTCTTCAGGACTGGAGAGCGTCTCCACACTATAAAGTGCACTCGAACGGCTACACATCTCTCATCTCCTGAACATATTGCAACATTTACGAACACACATACACACACAAAAATCATGCATATTTTGGACCACGTCATTTTCGTCAAGTATCGCTATTAGTCTCGTTATGAGTCCTGAATGGAAATGCTCCATTTGGGTTTGCGCAAACATGCATGCTTGGCTTTAGCCGCAAATCGGACGTTTAACAATACCACATCCATCTCCTCTTGCACAATACAATCTTTTTTTTTTTTCTTTCTTTTTTTTTTCCCGTTCGGATTACGAAAAGACCAACATGTCGACTACTTCGTCTCCTTAAAGTATAAAAAGACACGAAATGTTACAAAAACTTGTTAAATACCTGATCTGAACATTTCTTGTGCATAGACTATACATACAATAATACTAAGGGCTGGCTAGCTAGCTTTGCTCTTTTTTATCGTTAAACCAAAACCAGTAATATCGCAACCAATTATAAAACATTGTTATTCATGATTTTTTTTGATGGTCATAAAAGTTGTCAAATGAAGGCGCTGCAATTGGTTGGCTAGCTAGCTTAGCTCTTTTTTTATCGTTAAATGAAACCAGGAATATCACAACCCCTTATACAAAAAACATTGAGGAAGAATGGAACCGAAAGAAGACCAAGATAAAGCTAGCCATCAAAAATAAGGAACTTGGGATGAAAGTTGAACGAACGAAAAATGGATGGAAGTTATTTGTGACATTTTTTGATGGTCAAACAAAGGCGCTGCGATGAGTAAGAGTTGGCTAGCTAGCTTAGGTCTTTTTATCGTTGAACCGAAACCAGTAATATCGCAAAACCTTATAACAAAGTTATTTGCGACTATTTTTGCTGATCGATAAAAGTGGTACAAAGGTGTTGCAATGAGTAAGCGTGGTTTAGCTAGCTTAGTTTTTTAAATCATTAAATCAAAAAACAGTAATAAATCGCAACCCTTGTACGAAAAAACATAAGAGGAAGAAACCGAAAGATTGATGAAAAAGACATCCATCAAAAATAAGGAACTTGGGAAGAAAATAAAAATGAGTTCTTTGCGACATTTTTTTTTGATGGTCGTAAAAGTGGTCAGAACGAAGGCGCTGCAATGAGTAATAACCGATGAAACGCTTTTCCACAGAAGTAGTTTGTTTTTTTTGTTTTTGACAGTCCTCCGAGACAAACCTGTTGTCTTTGGTTGTTTTTGGGCGAAACGGCTGCGAGCGAAGACATGTCCGTGTTTCGTCAACACCAGCATCTCGTAAAGCGCATGCCCTTAGGTGGTTTTCTTGGCAAAGACGCACAGAGTTCAGTAGCTGGTGCATGTGCAAATAAAGGTCCTTCCCAGCATTCCCTGCGGTGGCTAGTGGATCATTAAAAACGTTTTTTGGTGGTTCTTTCCAAAGTTCTGATGGATGAGATCTCTTACGTTTCTTTGTACCTGAAAGAACAAAAAAAAATAACGTCATTTTCTGATGCTGCTTTGGGTTTTACACCTGCAGAAATATCAATGTAACATGACACCATTTACCCGCTTTGCAAGGTGAATTCGGGAAGCGCTCCGAGAGACGTCAGCTGCTCTTCTAAGGCCACGATACGCAGGCCGATATAGCCAGACGACAACAAGAGCAGAAACACCCTAAACGAGACAAAAACACGTCACTTTACACAACAAAACGATCTCGGTGTACGGTTAAACACGTTTAGTATCAGGGCGTCTCACATCACAACAATATCATTCCCTTACAGCTGCATGAGATCAAGATGAGACTCATTTGCCTGGCAACCACTTATATTTTGACAACTAGAGTCAAGCTGAATCTCGTCACTGAGCTCATGATTATCTGTCACTAATACTATGGGTGAAGCAATATGGATATTTCAGTCTATACTGACAGGACAGGTACTACTTGATTATTTAATAAAAGTAATTTTCAAATTAAAATGAAAATCGCAGCTCGTCATATGAAATTAAATGCACCAATAGAACAGAAGTAACCTCCATATAAGAAACAAAACCAGGCAGCAATAATTTTTAGTTTAACACTAACATTTCAGTCATACTGCCATGTGTTTATGTCTCATCTTTTTATGCGTTTATCAGCATTTTAATCTTGTAGATGTCCTGGGAACTGAAGTTTACTTGGGAAGTTCACTAAATGTCTCTTCCAACTTGAGAATAGTTCATTACACAGAATCTGTGCCAATGTCACGGAGCATAATGTCAGCAGCACTTGGCCATCCAGTGTAGTTTGGGCTCCTCCTCAATGCGTCCTATAAATCAGTTATGCGTCTTCAGTGTTGCCAAGTCTGGGGTTTTTCCACGTAATTGGGATACTTTAACACTGTTGCCATTGGTTGTTTCTCATGTCCGCTGGTTAAAGAGACCACAATAACGTGATATTTAGCTCCTGCAATGCGAATTTTACTCGGAAAACCCCGCCAAAAAACCCCCGGAACCTGTTTTTTTTTTTTAACCGGGGGATCCCCCTCGAAACGCCATGAGCTAGTTTTGAGTAGCAATTGGGCAGGTTTTGGGCAACCTGGCAATCCTGTGCGTCTTTCACACATCCAGTCTGTTTTTCTTCATTAGTAACATGCAGTTAAATAGGAGGTATTGAACTTTATCTTTAGCTCCTTGTATTCTCTTATGTAGACGACAGGTTAAGTAAAAATGTGAATATGCAATATTCATACGTCTCCATCATTTTGGAACTCTCACGCTGCACAACTAGTGCTGCTTTTAGCAGGTGCGCCGTCAGCGCTGGCGCTCAGCACAGATGAGGACTGTTGCAAAGTCTTTTCTCCACTAAAACTTTGATGAGTATCATCTTGGGTTATTATGTCAATATAAAAGACATGATCGCAAAACAATTAAGAAAAAAAGGCAAAGTCATTTTTTCAATGTACATTTATGTAGTCGCCAGCAAAAAAGTTAACTCGCAAATTAATATTTTGACCATTTTAGTCGCAGTCTGGAGCCCTGAAAGTTGTCAAATTATTTTCAGTAAATATCTGTTAAAATATTTTCCCACATTTGTTACTTCTAGTAAATATTTGTATAACATTTATAATTGAGTAAATATTTGATGCATATTTTATTTAATTTTTTTACTAAAATTCATTGAGCTAAATATTTTAGCAAATATTTGAACTAAATATTTGTTTTTACTAAATATTTTTATAACACTCATAAATTATCAAGTACTTCATAAATAGGTCAAGTAAACATTTTTATAAATATTCTATAAATGATCTTACTAACATTTATAAAATATTTTAAAAAGTTTTAGATGTTATTTTTAGTAAATATTTGCTGTAAAGCTGTATAACATTTAGAACTTTTTAGTAAATCTTTGATAATTTTTTTGTTTGTAATATTATATTTTTAATACTAAATGCTAAAATACTAAACATATTTTTCCTTACCTACTACATAATTTATTATATATACAGTGGGTACGGAAAGTATTCAGACCCCCTTAAATTTTTCACTCTTTGTTATATTGCAGCCATTTTAGTAAACTTTATTACATTTTATAAATTAAGTTTCGGAAAATATTTTATAAAATTAATTCTTTTTAAATATTTGTATAACTTTTTAATTTTTGGTAAATATTTTTAAATACTTATATTTTAACCAATATTTTTGTAAATATATTCTGTAGATGAGGAGCTACCCCCTCACAATGTAAAATGCTTTGAGTGCCTAGAAAAGCGCTATATAAATGTGATGAATTATTATTACTTTATTATATTGTAAATATTTACTGTGAAATTGTAAATAGATGAGCGCATTCCAGCTAAAAGCCGTGGCATGAACACTCACAGGATCAAGTAGATGAGCAGCAGAGTGTTGAGGTTACTGATTTCTCTTTGGATGAGGAGAGATCGCGCTCGATCCGTCACGTTCCAAACCCACGAACTTCCTGTGGAGAGAGGAAGCAGAATCTGTGTTAGCCAATCAAACGCAATATCCCTCCGAGTCATTCAGATCTGCAGGCCGGCGCGCGTCGTACCGGTGTATTCCTCACTCGAGCTCTCGTCTGGCGTCTGCGGGGAGCTCTTAATCGCAGCGTTTTCTGAAACGCAGAAGCAAACACAGTATCTTAACACCTTTCTCTCAGAGTCACGCAGCTGTGAGACGTTCAGGGGGGAGTTTACGAACCTGGAGTGAGTCGAGACGCAGACAGATCGATCGGAGGACAAAGCTCGTACGAGTCGTCCAGACTGGACTGGCTGGAGTTCTGCTGGGAGAGACGCACAGATCCTGACGAGCGCTGAGCCTCACTCAAGAGAGGGCTGCTGTGGGCACTTCCGTCCTGTCGGGAACGAGAGCGGCGACACGTCAGGAGCCAGTTAAACACACGAACACCAGTCAAATCATGTCAGCAAACGCTCACTCACCTCCAGCTGAGGACAGACGGATCGCAGCAGCTTATAGCAGCCTTCTCTGTTCCGCAGAGACACGAATAAATACTGCAGCACAGACAGAGGACAAATATATTCATAGGAAATACAACAAAAATGTATTAATTAATTAAATGATACTTAAAGAAAGTACAGATACAAGTAATTCTCAAAATGAATATTAAAAAAAATCATATTTGAATATCAGTAAATCTCAAAATGAAAGGAAAAACATTTATTATATTTAAAATAAAATCTCAAAATTAAAATAAAAACTCAAGAATTTCTGAAACTTACTTCAATTATTTTTGTTTTTTTTTAGGCTTTGTCTTTTATAAAAGAAAGTATTAAATGTAACCCGTTGAAACATTTTCACTTTGGTCATTCATTTTTTCACAAAACAACACATTACATTTTTTTTATTAATTAATAAGCTTTAACTGGTATGTTTCACTTTAAAAAGTTTTGGTAATTAACATGAATCAGTATCTTTCACAAAAATTCACTGTAAAACATTTTATTAATTAGCATTAATCAATATGCATCAGTAAAACATTTGTAAAATGTTTTTTTAAGTGGCATTAATCACTAAAAAAAATTACTAATACATTTATTTTTTTAAATAATTAGAATTAATTGGTATGTTTCACTTAAAAAATAAAAATAAAATAAATTTAGTAATTGACATCAATCAGTATGTAAAAAAAATTCACTATAAAACATTTTTATTAATATATTTTATTAATTAGCATTAATCAATATGTATCAGTAAAAAAAAAAAAGTAAATGAATTTTTTAAATTGGAATTAATCATTAAACATTACTGTAATACATAAATCTTTTTCTTCAAATAGTTAGAATTAATTTATGGAAGCCCGTTTCCGCCACTGAATAAAAGATTAAGGTTATTGCTACTTTTTATCTCACAATTCTGACTTTTCTCAAAATTGCGTGATATAAATTCACAATTGCGAGTTGTAAAGTCAGAATTGCGAGAAAAATCTGCCAGAATTCGAGATATAAACTCGCGATTGCGGGAAAAAAAGTCAGAATTCACGAGATATAAACTCACAATTGTGAGAAAAAAAGTCAGAACTCACAAGATATAAACTCGCGATTACGAGAAAAAAAGTCAGAACTCACGAGATATAAACTCGCAATTACGAGAAAAAGTGTCAGAATTCACGAGATATAAACTCGCAATTACGAGAAAAAAAAGTCAGAATTGCAAGATATAAATTTGCGATTGCGAGAAAAAAAAAAAGAGTCAGAATTGTGAGATAAAAAGTCGCAATAACCTTTTTTTCATTTTTTATTCAGTGGCGGAAACGGGCTTCCATATTAATCAGTACGTTTCACAAAAAAACAGAATAAAAAAAAAAGTATTAATTAGCATTAATCAGCATAAATGAATTTTATTATTTTTTTTTCATAATTTTTCTGAGGACAATGTGCTCAATAGTGTAAAAGTGTTTGAGGCTCGGACCTTCTCTCTGTCTGTGGTGCGGACAGAGATGGCGTTTGGCACGAGCAGCGCGGTGTTCTGTTTCTTCAGGACGTTCACACTGGCGACAGGAACGATCACCTGAAACACACACACGGGTCTGTTGACCTGGGGTCTGATGGCAGCTCGGAGCGCATGCGTGCGGATCGGACGGCTCTTTACCTTAGTGTCTTTGAGTAGCACGGAGGAGAAGAAGCACAGGCTGCTGTCGGTGATGTACAGACGGCCGTGGTAAGGCACTTCCTTCTGCAGCGCACACACGTAAGCTGCAAACACAGCATTAGACACGCGTGACGCCGCTGCTATTGTGTCTCAGACGTCACAGAAACATGAATGTACAAGTCTCTCACCGTGCAGCAGGTCTTCAGTCTCGGGGAGTTCTGGGAAGAGTTTGTGGAATGTTTTGTTGTGCTTCATAAAACTCTGAGAAGAAAGGAAATGAGAATTTAGACATGTTTTATTATGTTAGATTTCAAAAAGATGAATGAAAAGTCGTCTTACACTTCTTGAGTTGAGGCTGTCGCCTCTCTCCAAAGGTCTGTCGACATCGAGCGTGTGAGACCTGCCAATAAAACAACACACATTTTAATACTAATAAAAGGTAGAGCAAGTAATTAAAAAAAAAATGTATACATAGATTTTGTTTTTAGATTATTTTGAAAGATTAAAATATATTTTAATGTAACTTAAAAACAAATTAACATCAATTTTTCTTTTTCAAATAAATTCAGCTTTTTTCTTTATGATATTAAAATACAAGATGTATTTTATATAAATGTAATTTGTTTTGAAGTAAAACAAATACATTTGATCATCTTTTTTCCCCCCCCGTTTAAATTAATTAGATTTTTCTTTATACATGAAAACGCCAGCTATAATACTTTATATATTATTTAATTTGTTGTGGAGAAAATGTTTGTTTTTATTTTTGTTTAATTTTTTTCAATAAATATCGGTAAAGCCCTAAAAATTTTATTTAAAAAGTACACATTTAGAATATTTTTAACACATTTATACAAATATATTTAATACAATACATATTATAAATAATATTTAATATAATATATTTATTCATACATTTTTAAAATAAAAATAAATTGTATAATTTCTTTAAAAAATAAATATATATATATATATAGAGAGAAAGAGATAGAGAGAGAGTGTTACGATTTGCTGTGGGAGGAACGATGGAGACACGGAAAAACATTAAATAGTCTTTAATACTTAAATAACCGGGGATAATCCACAACAGGAACACGGGAAACACATGACATCCAACAAGTAGACCCGACAAAACCAAACTGAACAGACTGGGGCTTATAAACACAGGGCAATCAGGGGAACACAGGTGCATGGAATCATAAAGTAATCAAACTAAACAAGAACAGTAAAAAGACCATAAAAGGAAACACAGGAAGAACTACGGCAAAACAGGTCCAAAAGTCTGACAGAGAGAGAGAGAGAGAGAGAGAGAGAGAGATAACTACCGTATTGACCCGAATATAAGACAATGTTTTTTTCTTGGAAATACATCTGAAAAAACACGGTCGTCTTATATTCAGGGTCTAGACTTTGACATGTCAGTAATACACACACAACAATAGGTGGTGCCAAATACGCATAAAACGAGTGTGCCATGAAATACGTAATGTAATGCGTGTTGTAAAGATCGAGAGTAAAAACTAAAGAAAAAGAAAACCTTACAGCTGCATGAGTTGTGACTGTCACATTAGCCTGATGGGACCAAACTCCCTTTGTGATGAGATGGCGTTTGGCACGAGCAGCGCGGTGTTCTGTTTCTTCAGGACGTTCACACTGGCGACAGGAACGATCACCTGAAACACACACACGGGTCTGTTGACCTGGGGTCTGATGGCAGCTCGGAGCGCATGCGTGCGGATCGGACGGCTCTTTACCTTAGTGTCTTTGAGTAGCACGGAGGAGAAGAAGCACAGGCTGCTGTCGGTGATGTACAGACGGCCGTGGTAAGGCACTTCCTTCTGCAGCGCACACACGTAAGCTGCAAACACAGCATTAGACACGCGTGACGCCGCTGCTATTGTGTCTCAGACGTCACAGAAACATGAATGTACAAGTCTCTCACCGTGCAGCAGGTCTTCAGTCTCGGGGAGTTCTGGGAAGAGTTTGTGGAATGTTTTGTTGTGCTTCATAAAACTCTGAGAAGAAAGGAAATGAGAATTTAGACATGTTTTATTATGTTAGATTTCAAAAAGATGAATGAAAAGTCGTCTTACACTTCTTGAGTTGAGGCTGTCGCCTCTCTCCAAAGGTCTGTCGACATCGAGCGTGTGAGACCTGCCAATAAAACAACACACATTTTAATACTAATAAAAGGTAGAGCAAGTAATTAAAAAAAAAATGTATACATAGATTTTGTTTTTAGATTATTTTGAAAGATTAAAATATATTTTAATGTAACTTAAAAACAAATTAACATCAATTTTTCTTTTTCAAATAAATTCAGCTTTTTTCTTTATGATATTAAAATACAAGATGTATTTTATATAAATGTAATTTGTTTTGAAGTAAAACAAATACATTTGATCATCTTTTTTCCCCCCCCGTTTAAATTAATTAGATTTTTCTTTATACATGAAAACGCCAGCTATAATACTTTATATATTATTTAATTTGTTGTGGAGAAAATGTTTGTTTTTATTTTTGTTTAATTTTTTTCAATAAATATCGGTAAAGCCCTAAAAATTTTATTTAAAAAGTACACATTTAGAATATTTTTAACACATTTATACAAATATATTTAATACAATACATATTATAAATAATATTTAATATAATATATTTATTCATACATTTTTAAAATAAAAATAAATTGTATAATTTCTTTAAAAAATAAATAAATATATATATATATATATATATATATATATATATATATAAATATATAAAAATAAAACAGATTTTCAATATTAATGTTTGCCAAATAATTAAATATAATCTTTATATTGATAAAGTATTTCATAAACTATTTATATTTTAACTATTTATATATAATTATTTTATATTGTTTTTATTTTTACAAAAACACATTAGATATAATTGATTGCCAAATAAATATAATTTCTATATTATAAAATATTTCATAAAATATTTAAGTATTTAATTTATTGTCTCTACTATTTTTTTTAAAGACACACACATTTTATTTCATACATAAATATTTTTTTCTTTAAAACATTTCTTTATACAAAAAAACAAATTTTACATATTGATAGACTAAATAAATAAATATTTAATACAATTATTTTGTATTAGTTTCTTTTTTAAATATTTTTATTCCTCTAGATGAACACATCACATATTTTAGATATTGAAGAAGGCCAATAAAAAATAAAAAAACAGTAACAAAATAATAAAAAAGTTTTATTTTAATTATTTACCCATCCATCCACCCATTCATATCCAGTTTTCTAACAGTTAACAGTGTCGTATTTACCATTAGAGTAATGGTTACTCTAATTTTACAGCGGCAGAACTGGTTCAACACAACACAAATCAACTGCTGTCGTACCTGGGCGGGACCTGCCGGCTCAGGCTCTTGGTCTGCTGCTGAACCTCCAGCTGATTCTCCTCCAAACTGAATGCTTTCCTGCTCCCCAGCTTGGCTTTCGTCCTCCCCTTCTTGGCCTTGGCGGGAATCGTCCCGGCGTCCACCACATAGCTGTGAAAACATCGTAAAACCACCGTCAGCCTCATAACTGACGCTCACACCGCTCAACCTCCCCCTTAAACAGCGTCTGAGTTTACGAGGCCATGCCAACGCTTATAAAACACAGACAGATGCGCAACACACCGCATTTCGCTTCTCTATTAAGGTCAATAACAGGAATAACGACATCAGATCAAACAAACAGTGCAGCTTTACAAGTTTCTCTCATGCAATGATTCGAGTGTAATGGTTAAACAGACTCAAAGCAAATATATTATAAAACACACCAACGGCACTTCACTCCGACCTCGATTACCCAACCACAGCAGTAAAAACTCAAGAATAAACACTATGGACTGAAAAACAACCTTCAAAGGAAAAGCCACACCAATTTTCGCTTGGAAATTGCGAGTAAATTTTAAAAAGTTACACACCGAACGCAGCCCATTGAATGGAAACCTACTCTAATGACATAAAAAGTGCTATTCTACCATACCTGTAGATATGATGTCCATTCCTGCGAGATAATCGTAAACTCAACGATCGGTTCATCCTCAAAAGTGTACAAAATTGGCCTCAAGCCATAACGCTGGAGTCTGACGCTCGGCCAGAAGCAATAAATACATTTTTAAAAAAAGTGAGTCTAGTCGCTCAGCGAGTCTAAAAAACAGCTCTGGTCTGCTGCCTTCCTCTGTATGCAAATGAGGGGGCGGGGTTAGAACAGAGCTCTGGGATGCGGTTGAACCAATGGGAGCGGCTCCCTTCCACTGTATGCAATTAAGTGGGTGGGTCTGAGGACAGAGTTCCAGTCTGCGGTTGTGTTCCAATGGGCAGGGTTAGAACAGAGCTCTGGGATGCGGTTGAACCAATGGGAGCGGCTCCCTTCCACTGTATGCAATTAAGTGGGTGGGTCTGAGGACAGAGTTCCAGTCTGCGGTTGTGTTCCAATGGGAGCGGCTGCTTGATCTGTATGCAAATGCGGGTGGGCAGAGTCTCTGACCTCAGATGGTGTGACTGTGGGTTGCTGATGTAATGGAACACCTGCAGGTCAAAACATGCTGAGAAACGCAGCAGCTTTTGAAAAGAAGCGAAAGCGAATGAGTTTACAGTGAAAAGAGTGATGATTTATAGAAGCGAAAGTCAAATCGCTGTAATTCTTCATCTGAAAGGAACTAAAAGTCGCCGCAGACCGCTTCCTCGTTTGGCTCTGAGGTTTTTGGGTAATTCGAGAGCCTTAAACGTCTGTTTTGGTGCCAACATGCTAAGCACAGCTGCTGGAAAGCACACGTCAACTTTCCCAGCATTCAGAGCCATTACATTTATGACTCAAGGACAAAGGTGTGACTTGCTGAAATATAGGTTAAAAGACAGCATATGACATGCAATAAAAACTCTTGCAGTCATATAACCAGGTATGCGGGTTATGTATCACGCTTTGACGAATATGAATTACTTTCAAATGACTATAAATACCTTATATATATATATTTTTTTTTTACATGAACATGCCACATATTTTAGACATTAGCAAAATCTATTAAAAAACTTTTTAAAAAATGTAAATAAATATTTATTTATTTAAATGAACTTAATGAAATAAATAGGTTAAAAGACGTGCAATAAACGCACTGAGCAGGGATGCAGGGTGTTGTCTTACTCTATAACGGCAAGCTACGATGGGCGTAACAATTACGAATGACTCTCAAATGCCACAGAAACATTCCTGAGCTCATCTGCGGGGGAAGGGAAGCTTTTACGGCACGCAAGGAAACAAAAGAAACCATTACGACACAAGGAAGCTGGCAGCCACGTTTTAGAGCTCAGCCAGCTTTTGTTTGGTTGTTTCGGTCTTGAAACCTTTGGATAAGAAAGCAAATCCATGTAAGACTTAAACTGCTTTGGATGGATGGATAAATAAACATTACTCTTTTTTTAAATCAATAATTTTTTTCTCTATATATGAAAATGCCTTATTTTAGATATTGGGAAAGGCCAAAAACATGTAACTTTTAAATAATACCAAAAAATAAAATAAAATAAAATAAATAAAATAATATAAGAAATGTATGAGAAAATAATTACATTTTTTTTAAAGAAACAACTTGTATTGTGTTAAGTTGCATTTTAATTAAATAAATAACCAAAAAGTAACTAAAATTATAACTACTACTACTGCTGATAAAATACTAATTAATAACAAAATATTCAAATATAAAATAATATTTAAAAAAACAAATATAAAATTAGCAATAAATTACGTTAACTAGCATTACACTAACTAACATTAGTGTTCAGTAATATATTATTGTATAAATTATTTTGCATACAGAAAAATCAAAGAGTGAAATAAATGAAATATGAACTTCGTTTTCTCAATCGCAATGGTTTTTCTGATAAGATAATATATGAAAACAAAAAATAATGCAATTCTGTGATAATACAACGCGATTCTGGTAATTTAACTTGGCATAAACTCAAGCTATTCATTTAATGCATCACTTCATTTTTCCGCATGCAAAATGTCAATGCTTGTTTTACTTTTCCATTCAGCGTAAAACGAGCCACACAAGACATTAAAACACTTCATATTTCAAATCTATTTAAAGACCCCTCAGATCTCATCCGCACCGGCTTCACCTTTAACCAGCATCAATAAACCACAGCTCACACTCTCACACCGCAGCCAAACTTCCCATCACACCAGCTGAAAGTCCTGTTTCTCATGCCCGAGCTCGTGTATTCGGGCTAAACGGAGGATTTGGGAATCTGCCGCCGCGCTGTGGGCGTTTATAGGAAACGCAATCCAGCAAAGGCATTTGGGAAAGTCACTCGTAACTGAAAGTGCTTGCATTAAATAAATAAAACACACTGTTCAAACACTTTAATTCAATGCATTAGGATTTAAACAGTGTGTCAATCCGGCTTCGTGACGTTAGAACAATAAAAAAAAGGATCCAGAGATCCTGTTCAACAGTCTTGAACAAACCTCGCGACTTCTATTTAGCCTAAAGACGTGCAGTGATTTAGAACAAAGACAACAAGCATCAAACAGCCCCTGCAGAATCATCTGATGCTGATGATAAAACACAAAGCTCGCAAAAAGACGCCACAGGAGCTCAAACCAGAGCAGATAAGCATCAAACAGTGGCATGAGACGCTTCAGAAACACGCCAAACAAGGAAATGTGTCGGAGTTCAAGGCCTGTTCTCAGCGATAAACGTTTATCATGCATGCCTTTGTTCTGGGAATGAAAGTTCAGTCTTTGCAAATGAGTCAAAACGTTTGATTTTTGTGGTTAATTTGCATGAATCAAAACTAAACTAGTCAACGTTTTGCTCTTTAAAGCTGTTTGAATTCAATCCGCTAGCTATGAAAACAAATCCACACCGGGCTAGCAGCTCAACGACGCATTCGCAGCTGCTCACCATCGTATATCAGAGCTAAAACAGTCGTAAACGTCTCCTACCTTCCCAAATCCTCACACGCGGCCGTATCCATGTGGTTTAGATCCTTCTCGCCATCCATCGCCACGTCTTTTCAGGGCTAGCGAAGACTGAACCACTTCTGACCAGCTGCGCTAGATGCTGAGCAATGGGGTCTAAAGGTTTCCTTTACAGCTGCTCCGTTACGGAAAAAGTGAGATAATGAGGCACAGGGAAGTCAAGAGTCGAGCGAGGGATAAAGGATCCTCCGCCGGCCCACTCCGCTCACCTCCAACCGTGGCAGCTGGAGGAGCCCACAATGGCCCATTTGGATGCCATTGAAGAAATGCAAACTAAAGAAGACAAGACTCAAGACATGCAAACAAAGGCCTTGCTAGTGGGCCACCTATTGCCTTTGCAGGGGGGGGTAGAGGGTCAACAAACACATGGGAAAACTGGAGAAAAATCCCCTACAAGACCAGGACTTTTCAGCAAGGATCTGATTTGGCTTTAAGTATTTCGTGAAGTTTCTGTGTGAACTGGAAAAGTGCCAAAAAATGGTTAGTTTGAAGTTAGATAAACAAATACTACTAGAATTTAGACTTTTTTGATCAATTACAAACCCAAACACAACAAATTTGAAACGATACATGAACAATATAAATTCTGACTTTGAAAACATCAGAAATGGTTAGATTGAAGTTAAGTTTTTAATCGATTACAAACACAGACACAACAGATTCAAAACAAATACACAGAAAAACGGACTAAAATCCAGTATAATCCTGTAAATACGCTAAAATCTGACTTTGAAAGTGCCAAAAAAAAAAAAGTTACTTTTATGTAAAAAAAGAATTAGAAATCCAAACACAACAAATGTAAACATTTATGGAAAACTGACCAAAATCCATTTCAAGCCTGTAAAGAATTAGAAATCCAAACACAACAAATGTAAACATTTATGGAAAACTGACCAAAATCCATTTCAAGCCTGTAAAAACACTAAATTCTGACTTTGAAAGTGCCAAAAAAAAAAAAAAAAGGTTACTTAGTATAATCCTGTAAATACGCTAAAATCTGACTTTGAAAGTGCCAAAAAAAAAAGTTACTTTTATGTAAAAAAAGAAAAAGAAAAAAAGAAATACTATTATAATTTTAACTAATTAGAAATCCAAACACAACAAATGTAAACATTTATGGAAAACTGACCAAAATCCATTTCAAGCCTGTAAAGAATTAGAAATCCAAACACAACAAATGTAAACATTTATGGAAAACTGACCAAAATCCATTTCAAGCCTGTAAAAACACTAAATTCTGACTTTGAAAGTGCCAAAAAAAAAAAAAAAAGGTTACTTTTGGTTATGATTACTAATGGTTAGCATACGTAGTTTAATAAACAAGTAGTTTTATAATCCACAAAACAAAAACGGACCAAAATCAAGCTTACGCATGTAAAAACAGCCAAATTCTGACTTTCATTGGGAAAAAGGTTACTCTTGATTAAAAAATATAAATCATGACAATATTTGTTCATTTAACTTCAACTAAATCCAAGCACAAATGAAAAATTAATACACGGAAACTGACCAAAACGAAAGGAAAATTAAACACTAAAAATATTACAGAGCACAACATAACTATTAATCAATAACCAAGATTTCTGTATCAAATCATCTCTAATAAGTTACATTATTCCTCAAGACAGCTAAAAAATTAATTCAAACTGGTGTTATTTTAGTATCATTGAATTATTATTTTGAATTAGTTTTTATATCACCAATTACATTTTTTTTATTTTAGTTAATGTGTTAGTAATTTAGTTGTGCTTTTCTCTTTTTTAATGTCTATGGATTGTACTAATTTTTATTTCACTTTTATTTTTAGTTATTTTAGAAAATTAAGTTAAACTAAATGAAAATGAGAAATTTTGTAGCTGATTTTATTTTTTTCCCCCAGTTAATATTTACTTTAATTGCCGGTAACAAAAATTAATCAGACAAGTCATGCTTTACACAGTATATGGTTATTGCAATGATAAAAATTTTAAGAGACCTGTGACCACCTTAAGATGTGGCCCACACCAAGTTCCAGGTCAATTACCACTGAACCTTTTCTCCATCTGACCCCTGACCTCCTTGTGCCATTATACATCGGAATGATTCACCCCTGGCCTAATGCACACTGCACGTACACAAGCATTCAAGGCTTATGTTTGACAAAGGAAATGCATTAGCTCATATACACCCACAGCTGCGCAAAGACAGCTAAAAGATCCTTGTCCAGGCCTGAAAACAAGCAGTTCTTGAATCTTAAGTTGTGCACTTATTTTTAATCAGTTTTTATCAGGGCATTCTGTACTTCTGTTTATAAACAAGACGCCATGTTCTAACAGAGA